ATTATATCTTCATGATAGCAGCTTTCTTGTATAGACACTAACTTTGAAAATTAACAGCGCTACTCTTCTTTCCATTTTATTAATTTAAGGAAGATCTGGTGAGCTTAACTCCATTAGAAAATTTGGTAACTACTGCAGAAAAATTACTCCAGCATCACAGTGTGTGTTTCAATAGCCCATTCACAGTTTCACACAGAAAAGGTGCTTGGGAAGATGAACTTGACGCCAACTGCATAAATTATTTGATAGCACTGGACCAATTAGAAGATGTATCCTGCACTTGCCAACTTACAATTATGCTTCAATTTACTGTAGAAGTAGGACCAACAATAAAGGGACAAAGTGAAGCACATTTGTTTCTTGGGGGAAGAGAACCAGGCAGACACTCCCACACCCCAGGCCTGTGATCAGCAGTGCTGCCTTTAAATCAATTATATTTTAAAAGTATTTGCAGTCATCATTCTAACATCATAAGTAGCTGCTATCTGCACAGCAGCTTTCATCTAGAGACTTAAAGAGCTTTCTAAAAATTAACTCAGTGCTTCTCGAACAGCCATTGAATGTCCCAAACCCATACTACCAACCAGTAAAACCATCTTCTCTGCTAGAACTTCTGCTTTCTCCCTTTTTCTTCTCCCTACTTTTTTTTTAATTAATCTCCGTTACACTTACTATCAAGCCATAAAAGCATGCAGCCGACACGGAAACCTTGCTGCGCCATGTGAGGAGTATGAGTTACCGCACTAAAGTTTGTGTTGATTCCAATGCTCCATGGCAAGAAATCACATTGTAAACAACATTTTTACCCCACGTGGAAGCAGAAGGACCTACTTCTGGACAACTGGTGGAGGATGAGATCTATTTTTCTGCTGAAATGAATGACATCTGGGAAATGTTATTGCTTTTTCATGTTTTTCTCCTTAGTTAAGAACGGAAAACCAAGAATCAAAGCAATTGAAAGGGAGAAAAAAATAATGAAATTCAGCAAATACATGTGCAGAACAAATAAAGTTGGAATATTTCTATATTTTGTGGGCAATGTCTTATCCTGGCGATTCGTATAGCCAGAGCATACTTTGGGGGCAGAATAAGGAGCACGATCCTCTTGCCTCCCTCCTCCCACCCCCAAACTCACCTCTGCAAATCAAACTTACCTTTGCCATCCTTGTAAAGCACTGTTGCTTTTAACTCCAATTTAGGTGTAATTTGGAAAGAGGACAATTGGTCTGATAACCCACCCTACTCCCTACCCGGTGATGCTCAGAGTTTGGCCGCTGGAATTGCGGTATCCCAGCAGCTTTGGTTCCTGAGTTATTTGCACACCGATATGTGCCAACACGTAACCAGTTATATAATATCCACCAGTTAAGCCACAGCGGCAAATTTCAGCTGACACAAGAGCACGTTGATCTATCTGCTGAAGCCAGGGTACCTGCGTGCAGACGGCCTGGGGACCTCGGCCCGCTCCCCCCGGCACGTTGGCAGCACTCACGCTGCTCCCTTCCCGGTGTTGTTTCAAAACCGAAGAAAATTGAGCTCTAAAACACAGTGCTCCTGGCATCCTGTCCTGGCTAAGTTCTCACCCCCAGTGCTTTGTCTGGCCTTTTTCAGCATGCATGCCCTTTCGGAGGGGGAAGGTGAGAGTGGCTTTCCCCCCTGCTTTTGGGCAGAGCTGCCACCCACGCCATCCTGAGACCTCTCGGGGCAGCCACCAAGTGGTGACGGCAAAGCCCAGCAGTGGGGTGGGGAGTAGTATTCTGCAGAAACAAAAAAGGGAAAGGACACTGGTAGTGCAGAGCAGTTCTCTGGATAAATCCTGGGAGCTGCAATAGCAAACGCCCGTCTCCACGCTTGCTTGTGAGCTCTGCAGTGCAGCTCAGCAGATGCCGTTCCCTCAGCTACAGCTCTGGCCTCTCCTCTTGGAGTATTTTGTAGTAAAGGCATGCAAGAGGTTTCCTCGATGCTTCATCATCCTGGTAGAAAAGAAGCATCGGGTTTCCCCACCCTTTGAGAACAAACACCCATCTCTCTTCGCTCTTTTTCCTGTTAAATGCACATACATCTCTTGAAGGCCTGAAGGCGAAAGCTCTTAAAAGGAAAGAAAAAGAAGACATTTCACCACCATGAGAGATGGGACTATGGAAAACCACTGAAGCAGCTGGTCTCCTGTCTTGGAGCATCCATTACTGCTGTGGCTGTTGGCATTCTTCTTCCTGCTCCCCTCTAGGTAGGCTCCTGCACTGGGGCAACTGATGTTCCCTGGCATTGTCCTCTGCGCTTGATGAAGTAGAAACCATCCTCGCTGTGGCAGGAACACTGCTCACTACAAGTAAAACAATAGCTGCCATCCCCCCTCTTCTCTCCCTCATGCTATGCTTCAGTTTGCTTTACATTTAAAGAAACCAAAACCAGCCTGTCATTGCAGCAGCTCCCCCAAGCCCTTAGGACTTGCTATTTGTAACTCTTGCAAATTCAGCGGGGGGGGGGGGGGAAAAAAAAA